GGGGGGGGGGGGGGGGGGCTGAGGCGAAACGGTGGCCCACTGACAGCACCTCAAGGATGGGCCGGGCTGGAGGGGGGGCAGTGGCAGCAGCCACCCAGCTTATCTCTCCAAATGTTGCCTTATTATCCCTGCCGGCACCCAGCCCTCGTTGCTCTGCATGCGCACACCCACTCGGAAGGCTCGCCTCCTCTCCACTCGTTCGCGCAGCAGCCCTGCAAGGTTGCTCATCTTGGGAGTCCATGGCAGGCCCCAAGTTGCCCAGGCCAGCCCTCCGCCAACACACCGGACTGCCGAGGGCTTGACCTGAGCAAGCAAGCGAGGGGTTACAATTCAAGGAGTGGAGGCACCAGCCACGGCCACGGCCAGTTGGGCCACCAGCCACAGAGAGGGTGCAAGAGCAGCCCACCCGGGCTCCTTCCGCCCAGGAGGGGCACCACGCCTGTCCCCGGGCCTGCGTCCCTCTCTGGGCCTGGGGGCCCCAGCGGCCCGGCTGCGGAAACTATGCATGGCAGCCTTGGCGTTGCCTCAGTTTCCTCACGGAGAAGATGAGCCGCTGCTGCTTTTCCCTGCTGCCCACCTGCACACACCTGAAGGGGGGGGGTTGATTCTGGCATTCCTTGCTAATCATGCCCAGCCTTGGCCTCCCTGGAGTCATTCCTGGGCCACCTGCCTGCACTCCCCTCCTGCCGCCTGGCCAACCTTCCGCTTCCTGCGCACCGCACCGCCTCCCGCATTTTTACCTCAGCTCAAAGTTTTCAGCAAAGCCACACAAGTTTCTCTGTCACCCATTTGCTTTTATTTCTGTTGGGACTTGTCTGCAGCTGTGCCTTCAAAATTTCCTTTTTTAAGCCCCCACCCATCCTGGACTGCTTAGGGTCACTTGCCACAGGACCTTACCTATTAGCGTGCTGCATTTATTAAAACCATCCTTCCCAAAATCCAGAGTGGGTGCATGGGGCCGTGCTCAGGCTCTGCTCTCCTCGAAATCACAACCTTCCCCCAGGACTTCCCGTAACTTCCCCTTGATCCGCCACGCCATCCCTGCTTGTCAGCATTAAGTCGAGGACGGCTGGTCCTCCAGTTCAGGGGCAGCCTTGGTCTCCAAGATCAGGAGGGCACCAGGCTTCCAGAATCGACGGGCAGGACGGAAGCCCTCCGCAAACACAAGCAAGCGTCTGGCCCACGGCCCTCTCAAGCTGGAGAAAAGGCGGCGGTTGCTTGTGGCAGGTTTGCAAGCCCCAGGGCAGGGCCTGGCGCTCTCGGCTTACGGTCTGCGGTAGGAAGAAAGGGGCACAGGCCCAATGAGAGGCAGACTGGGAACCCCACATACCCCAATGATGGCGTTCAGCTCCGTCATCGTGACTTGCTTGGCCCGCTCGACCGCCTGAGCCACTTGCTGCTGGTGCTACGGGGGGCGGGGGGGGGGGAGAGAGAGAGAGAGACTGTGAAACGTCCTCCGTCCTCCTCCTCCTGAGGAGGTGCCAGCAGTCTGGGCGCATTCCTATTCAGCGGCACAGATCCCGCACAGAAGCAGCCAGGAAACCGGAGGCTACAGCTCCCAGTCCCGCGAGGGAAGCCACTTCGTGCTGGCTGGTGTCTGCAGCCTTGCCGTGTCCCCAGGGAGAAACCGGCTGTCCCCGGCAGATCAGGAGTTGCATCTTAGAAATCAAGCGCATTTCCTGCCTCTTGGGAGTCTTTGCTGCAGAACACCTTGGGACGCTCCGCTAGGGTGGGCACACCGTGCTGCCCCTTCACCCAAGGCAGGGAAGAGGCCGACCAGCCATTCCGACCACAGAAGAGTGGCTTGGAAAACAGGCCAGGAGCGTTCAGGCTCCCAAGCGGCAGTCGCACGGCCTGGAATTGTGGGGTGCGAGAGACCGAGCCCCGTGAACACAAGTCCCCACGGTGGAAAAACAGCCCAGAGGCAAAAAGATTCTGCAGAAATGCGCTCTGGGGGGATGCTCAGCTCCCAGGGACGTTGTGGGAACAATCAACAGGCTCCAGCAGGCAGGAGCCACCACGGCAGGACGAAAGCAAATCAGTGGGACAAACACGATCCGGTACTCAACGAGGAAGAAAGCAGCTTTGGCACACACTAGCCCACCCTCGCCAGTGCCCCCCCGGCAGCCCAGTTTCTAAAGCGAAACGGCCTTTGCGAGATGAAGAGCAAGAATTATTGGCAATCACGCCAGGGCTACCAAGCCTCGCTGGAAAAGCTCAGGTGTGTGTCCTTACGGAAGCCGGGCAGCAGTGGCAGCGGGTGCCGTGAGGGCTGAGCCCCCTGCAGGGCTTCGCGGGAGGACGGGGGCACCCCGGGCGCGGACAGCCCGGTGGTGCAGGCCGCTGGGCCTGAGCTGTGGCCACGTCGCTCTCCGGAGGGCAGCGGGAAGAGCTATGCCCTGCCATAACCCCCGCCGTGCAGCCGCACCGGGAATGCCTCGCCCCGTTTTCGCCACTGCACCACCAAGAGATGGGGCAGCCCAGACCATTCAGGCCTGAGCAGCTTCCTCTGCTTGGAGCTGCTCCATTCAGGTGAAAGGGGCCACCCAGGCAGGGCTCGGCTGCATAAAACAAGCCGGGAGGAAAAAAGCCAGCGCGGTGCTTGATGTACGCTGGAATTTGCAGCTGCGTGGTATAAGCGCAGCCTCCACTTTGGGGGGCTTTAAGAGGGGATCGGAAGAGCCGCGCAGGAAGAGCTCCATCGCTGGCAGGGATCAGAATGCCAAGAAGGGGCCAGCCGCTGGCAAGCAACTGCTTCCGCGGGGAGCTGCCCTGGGGGAGGGCCTGGTTTTACGGCTTCTGCTGCAAGCCGTCAGCCGGCATCCAAACGGGTTCTCACCTCTTGAGACAAAAAAGGCATGATCTGGGCCAGAATCGTGTTCAGCCTTTTCGCGATCTCCGTCTGGAAGGGAGAGAGGAGACAGTCCTTGGTCACCATGATATAGAGGAAGAAAGCAAACTCTGGAAGCTGCTTCACTGGACGGGCTGCAAGTCCTGGAACAGAACAGGGTCTCCCTTCTTACGAGCAACGAGAGATTCCATCCCCAAGAATCGGCAATGGGATGGAAAACTTTGGTGCCCTTTCGCACACTCTTCTGATGACACCAGCGTGAGAGACAGAACTGAAAGGCCAATGCCACTGAAGAGTTCGTGGCCACTGAGCTGAATTAAGAGTCCTCCGTGGCCAGTTTTTTTTAAATGGATCAAATATGGCTGCATCTGCCCCAGACAAGCTCCACAGAAACTAGAAAGGAATCAGGCTGGTTCGGGTTAATCTGGATGCAACAAGTCGCAGCGCATGTGAGCTTCCAAGGTGAATGGGTGCCCTCGGTAGGGCGGCTGTCCCTTTCCTGTCATGGGAACCTGGAAAGGGCAGGGGGGAGGGTTAAGAAGCCCTCCTGTGATCTGGAGGAAGGGTAAATTCACCCACGGCCAGCTCCTGTGCTGTCCAAGCCAGATCACGGGAGCAGCTTGTGAGAGAAACCAGGAACCCTGCCGTGCAGCACCACAATTTCATGCCTCCAAGCCGGAGGCCCTCAGGAAGCGGCGGAAAATCACTGCCTGGTCTACACAGAACACACTCCCCCCAAGGACTTTGTGCTCCATGCCCCTGGTCTCGGGGCATGCACAGAATTCAGCCTGAGTAACCTGAAGGATGCTCTTCCAGGCAAAGCACTCCACTGAGGCCGGCTGCACATCCTTTGTCCTTTCTGATCCAGAGGAGAAGCCTGGAGGGGGAGACTCCGGCCCCTGTGCCACGAGCAAGTGCATGGAGCCGGACACCCGCTCAGACACAGACGTGGGGCTGCCCTACTGCCACCTCCATCCAGGGGCAAAGGGGTTAGGAGGCAGCCTCTCTTGGATCGGAGCAGCTGTAACGACTGTTTGACTTCCAACTTAAACAAGGTCTGACTGTCAGGCAAGGAATCCAGAAGCCCGCTAACAATGGAGGCTGGTGGAGCCCACGCCCTGGAATGGAGTCAGATTCTCCTCTGGAGAGTTCAGAGCAGCTCGTTATCAATAAAGCAAACATCCAGAAATGTTCAGCAGTTCAAGAATTGTTTCTTCCCACAGTTGCGAGCTGCTCCATTCTTGCAGCCAGTCGCCTTTCCAATAAAAAGGTCTCTTCTGCTTTGGGCAGGAAAAGCTGCCGGGAGCATGATGCACAGACCAGAAATGGCTACTCCAGCCTCTAACGGGCCTTATACTGCAGAGAAACAAGCGCTGCTGCAGGAAAGCCTGCTGCAGCAGCACAGGGATCAGAGCAGAGGCCAACAACCCGGCTGGAGGAGCGGCAGGCCAGCTGGCCCACGAGCCACACGCTCTCCCGCCGGCCCCGGGAACTGCAGCAGGGGGTGACCAGTGGCCGGCTGAATGGGGCAGGGGCTGGGCCGTTTACAGCCAGCAGGGAGGGAGGGAAAGTAAGAGCCTGTGCGATGCTGGACAAGCAATCCCTTGCTGACCCCAATGCTTTTATGTAGGAAGCAGCTTTGCCTCCGCGGACTTGTCTTCGGAAGCCATTTCCAAAGCTTACTGCACTGGTGATGGCCATCAGTAAGTGACCGGAGAGATGAGAGCGCGCTTCTATGCCACTTTAAAAAAGGCTTAGAATCCCAAATTGCTTTTGGAAATAACAGAAAACAATCAGCCCGCTCCCAGCCATGGGGAAACCCTGAGGCAGTGGGGCAGGTTGGAGGGGCAGAAGGGAAGCACTTCCAGGCCGCAGTCTGGGCTGGGCTTCTGTCCTCAGAAGGGAATCCCTTCCCAGGCATTCCGCCCTTCTGAGAACATTCCAGAATTGGCAAGAAACCAGCAAAACAGCATGAAGACCCACGGAGGTTTGGAGGCAGCCAGGGCTGCACCTCCACCTGCTTCCGGGAAGGAATTCAGACACAACTTTCATTGGAGGCAGAGGAGCAAAAGAAGGGGGAAAGCTCTACAATTCTGCCTTCTAAATATTTGCATCATACCAAAGGTATTCTTTTCCTGAACACCCACTGCAATCATGCAATTAAAAATATTTGCATGCTTTAACAAGTTTGGGAAAGGGAAAATTAAGAACTCTCCCTTGCCCCTGGTTACACTTTAATGAAGATCTGTCTGCCCCCAAAGGACGCAGGCCAAGGCTGGGCACCGTCCAAGCAGCACTGCGCCCCCATTCATCACCGCAATGCCCCGCATCACCCCCACCCTGAGAGCCACCCACCCCATTCAATGCCTCACCCTCCAGTTTCCATGGCAACCCCAGCCACCTAATCCCCATTAGAACATTATGCAAATCAGCTCCCTGCCTGACTGCAGCTAACGGCAAAATTGCATTACCCATGCCAAGCCAGATCATTAGGCTGAACTGAAGGCGGGGGGGGGGGGGGGCAATCAGATTGGCTCCACAGTCGGTTCGGGATAAAAGCCAAGCCATGCATGGAGGGGCAGGAAGGGGGAGGGCGCACAGGGCAGGCAGCCCCTGGCTCGGGGACACCAAGTTGGCCAGGGCTTACTGCACTCCAGCCCCAGAGACTCCTCGCCCCCTCGGGCCCACTGAAACGGACCCACGGGGCTCCTCAGGGCGAGAGCTTGTGCACCACCGGGGCTGGGACTCGGAAGGGAGCAGCCGAAGCTGCAGGGGCTCCCAGAGCACCGCCTGGCCCCAGGGCAGCTCCAGGAAGGGGGTCAAGGGCTACGCAAGTGCCCCGAACAGAAACCTGGCCCTCCTGGCCCCTGAAAGCCAGCAAGGAGGAAGGGCTGGCCAGGCCGGGGGGGGGGGGCATCCATGCCTCTGCATAGGAGTGTCCCGTGCCACCGTGGTGAGCCCCCTTCTCCGAGAAAAGCCTCCCTTGACCCGGGAGACCAAACCGTCGCCAGCCAGCAGCAACCAGCCCTTTCCTAGGCAGGCCTCTGGACAGTGGCCAGCCGACTCCAGGCACTCTCGGGTGGGGCTGGGGACCGGGGCCCACAGTGGCCAGGGTGGGGGCGCAGGCCTGGCCACGGAAGCAGCCCCGGCTGCCCCACATGAGGACCTCTGATGGGAGAGCAGCAGAGGGAGCGCATCCCTGCCGGCTCTCCGGGGCCTCTCGGCAGCTCTTGCAGCCCTCGAGCTGGGTGTCCCTTGGGGCTGGGCGGGGGCGCTGCACGCAGTGGTTCCAGCCCTACTTGCAGGGACCCCCAGGGGGATTCTCCCAGCAGGGCTCTGCTCCCCCCCCACGCCATTCAACTCCTGCCTAAAGCCCATGGGTGAGATTCGGAGCACACAGCCACCCCAAGGCGACACCTGTGGGGTGGAAGCCAGACCTCAGGGAGTGGGGCAGGGCAGCTGCCCGGGTCACTCCCCTCCCTCGTCCTCAGCCCCAGCAAGTTGGAGCCTGTCGGCTGCTCCAGCGGGGCCTCAAGAGGCAGGAAATCATTGCGCAGAGCATGTCCCGCGTGCGCCTTCGTTCGATGCACGTGGAGAGCGCCAGAGACTTCGCTCTGCGCACCCCCCAGGGCATTTTGTCCAAAGCACGAGGGCTCCCAGGCCACCCCTTCTGCGAGGACCGCCAGGGCTGCGGCAGAGCGCAGCATGGTCTGCGAGCTCACAGCACTGGCTGCTGAGGCCGAGGCGCCTTGCAGAAGCATGCGCTTCACGCGGAAGGCCGCTGCACGCGCCTCGAGGTCGCAGAAAGAGCTTCCCTGCCCGGTGCCTCCAAGCCCAACGGCCCTCCCCAACCTGCTGCCCTCCAGACACCATGCTTGGCTGGAGACCAGGAGCTCCATCCCGGAGGAGCTGGTCCCACCTGCCTTGACGCTCTCCGAGGACAGTGATGCCACGACGCGTCACCTGAGTGGAAGAGCCACAGGCGCAACATACGCCACACCAATCCAGCCCGTGGCCCTCCTCCCCATCTGGCCGCCCGCCCGGTGCTCTCCGGGCCTCATCTGCGCCACAGGTAACTCACAGCTGGCCGGGCCTGTCGGAAGGGGGGAGGGAGCCCCCTGCGCTACGTGGAAAGCCGCTCACTCAGGCCGAGCCCCGTTAGGCAAGGCCCACGGACCCCCCGCCCCCCTGCGCCAGCTGGTCTTAAAAGGGCGGGCAGGGAGAGGGCGCGCAGGACGAGGCCTTCCACCCAAGTGCCTCCGGCGCTTGTTGAAAGCAGAATATTGTCTCTTTAAGCAGGAGAAAATAAGGCCCTTGAGCACGGGCAGTTCTCACTCGGGCAGACAATTAGGGGCACTTCCAGCTGTCTAGCGCTCGCTCAAGTGCGCTCTTCAGCCAGGCACTCGTCGGCATGTTGAAAGCTATTTGTGGCTGCAAGTCGTTATTAGTGGGCGCAGAGTGCGCTGCCGAGGAGACCGGCGTTCCAGGAGGGGGGCGTGTGGGCACAGCCCGGCCCATTTCGTGGATGTGCCCTTGGGGCGAGGCTGGTGAGGGGGGTCTGCCGTGACAGCAGGAGCACCAACCCAGGGCCCCCACCTATGTGGGGCAGGCGAAGAGGAATGCAGGAGCCAGGAATGGCCTCTGCCTTCCAGAGTTTTCGGGAGGAACGCTAGTCTAAGCATGCTTGCCCCTGCAGCCCCTCCCTCCCCACACACACACACACAGGGCCTTCATGGGACCCCTTGGCAGAACACGGCTCCTCCCACGAAGGGGTCCCACGAGAACCAAGAAGTGCTTAAGCAGCCCCTCTGCCTCGTGCCGGGCACACTCGGGGCTTCACGCCCTGCAACGTCCCACCAAGAGGTTCTGGGGCTGCCGAAAGCCGCAAGGGCGCCTGCCCACCACCCGCTGCGCCTCGCCTTCCCTGCATCGCCAACAACGGTGCTCCGAGCACTGCAGCTGCCAAGCCAGCGTCGCACCTGCCCCAAAATTTAGCTGCAACCCTCATGCGACTTTCCAGCCGACTGCTCAAACGACCACGGTATTAAGTC